TCAAGCTTAAAAGCAAATTTTTAATTTGCCGCGCGCAGCTTGAAGCATGACACATACCAAGCGGGTACCTATTCCAAGGGCAAGAATTCCCGAAAAGTAGCAAATGATTGACTTCCGTCGCGTTCGGTTTCGCTGTAGCTGTGTTAGCTCAATTGGTCCCCCATTGACCTCCATATATTCGCTCAATCTGGTTTCGCTGATTCTGGCCCTCGTTTTTAAGTTGATAATCGCTGTCATTGAATTCGCCGACTTGACAATCGCTGAAAAAGTCAATCGCTTAAATTGATAATCGCTGAAAAGGCTTCGCTCAAATGTCGTTCGCTGAAATGACGCTCGCTCAGGTGTCGCAGAATCACACATCAGATCACCGTATCGGATTGGTACTGGAGCACGAGATGCGTTAACGCAAGCGCACAACGAAAAGGCGGCATCAACAGAAAGATAAACCATAAAAGGACTGTTCCTCATGAGATCGATTAGCCTCCTCGGGATTCTCATCCAAATTACCTCAGACCAGCCCTCATGGCCTTCCCACAGATGCATATAATTGTTGAGTACCTACATCACCAGTTTCAATCACCGAAACTTCAGATGCCTGCTGTTGCGGCCGAACTTATTACTTAATCGTGATCCATATCATGGTGTGTCAAAAGTGGAAATAGCCGGTGCCCTCTTGCAACCCGGCAGCCCGCCGCCATAATAGGGAAATGCTTTTTGTCGCTTTTTCGCTCCTTTAAGTCACTTGATCTAATTAGAGCTTAACTAGGAACGAGGCGGATCACTTGGACGTATTCGGGAGCCGAATACGTTGTTTTGGAGTCAATACCTGGGAAACCCAGGCATTGGCATAGGTAGGTTTTAAGATGCGATCTTTGATGCGCCCAATGCGAGTTTTTAAGAGTCTACATGCCCAAATTAACGTTGAGCGCGACCGTTTTCGGTCGGTGGTTTTCCGGGACCTTGTGGCGAAATCGCCTTATTTATTCAACCAGGGTGGACTAATTTGCTTAACTGGGAATAAGGCGTTGAAGAGAATTATTCAAGGAATAGAACTGTGTAAACATATTTTTTTGCACTGTTACAACTGTATCCGCCCTCGAACGATAAATATTGTTGACGCACCAGCAACACATCCCGTGGAATGCGTTTGGACTTGGCTGGATCTAATATTAGCGAGTATCTGCTAATGCAGCTTCTTTGCTTGCACAGTATGCACACACACACATACAATGCTTCCTGCCCTTGGATTATTCCTCACTTGAATGAAAATTTTGTTATAATAACTATTCCAAGCAGTTGACAGATTTTAGTGCAATGCAAAGTCCGAACCGTCCCGCGCCGGCAGTCTCCCAGGCGGTGCGTAACGGCCGCCGCGCCGCCGCTCTGGCAGGGTGTTTGACTTTATATCCCTGTTGTTAGAAAAGTTGTGGACCGATTGACTTGATTCTTGCATGACAAGATCCGCCATTCAATTCTTAGCAGGTAACGAAAATTTGACGTCAATTGCACGATCCGCCGCCCATATTGCGGTACTGCCATCTACTGACAAGGCTGGAGAACCAAAGCCGTGCGGCTAGTTACCTACACTTCTGACACACCATGAGATGTCACGATGCACGTAAAGCAAGATCAATCCGTTAACCCGCGCATGAATGAGGTATTTTCCATAACGCGAGTGACGGGGGGGGGGGGGCTCTTCAGAGCCCCCTTTCTATCTCCGACACTACTGGGCCGATCGTCAAAATTCAAAGGGCGTCTGATAGCCCTAGAAAAACTGTCGAACAAAACCTATTTTCATTGACCTCGAGGTTACCGATGACGTCACAGGTCAGGTCAAAGTGAAAATTATCGGCATTTTTGCTTGTTCACAATTTATGCTCTGACCGCCGGCTGACAAGTCCGATCAGGCTCATTTTTGGTTTAAGCACTCCTTGATAAATGCCTTAGATACCCTGAAGGTACGTAACTTTTACTTCGAATTTTTCAGGTGAAGGCCAGGTCATCCTAGGTCACGAACATTGTATGTCATGTTTCGGTCGCGTGACGCATGTTTTATGGTCAATTTTTCTGGTATATTTCGAAAACAATGTCGTCTGTGTCATTTGAGGTCATTTTCAGCTGAATTTACCGGAGGTCAGGTCACGTTCAGGTCAGAAAAGGTCAAATTTTGAAAACTATTTTTTTTCAACAAAAATGTTGCCTATCAGATGTAGTTTGAGGCGAGCTCAGGAACACGATGGTGCCATTTATATTGCTGTACGATGTCAAAAACGTACTAAAAATGAGTTTGAAGAATATGCATATAATTGTAAAATTTTGACAATAATGCTAATAACTTTGCTTTTATGAAGATATTGGGCTAAAACTTACTAGAGTAGTTAATTAGTGTGTGTTCTATCACACATTTTCCAGTTTTTGCGAAAAATCAAAACTTTATATTACTTGTATGCCGCTGACGAAGTGACCATAATACAGTCACGAAACTGTCCGGAAAAGCCGAGTACTTTAATTCTATTACTATATACTTGCTGAGAACTATTAAAAAACAAAAGATAGATTTTTTGTTATTACGAGCGAGCGAGCGCAGCGAGCGAGCGAGCGCAGCGAGCGAAGCGAAGTCTTTTCAATATAACGGAAAAATCTCAGTATGAGCGGCCCGGCCCGGCCTGTAACGCTTTTGAGAGGCTTATATCTCAGCAACCGCTGGACCGATTGGCCTGCGGTCTTTTTTGCTGGGTAGCCCCATCCCTTCTACCCCGTAATTGACTACTTTTGATACATCTCAGTGACCGTCGTGGCACGTGCCACGTGAAAAGTCAAGGGTGTTCAAGCAGTTTTGCAAAAGTAATGATTTTGAGAGGCCCATATCTCAGCAGCGGCTTGAGCTGCTGTAATTTGTATAGTCTTGCGGTAATTTGTATAGGGTAGCTGCATCTCTTCTACCAAAGGTCGGATACTCTTGATCTATGTGAGTGACCCCCACTGTACGTGCAAAATACAAAAAGAAGAGGTGCCAAATTTGTTCCCATTTCAGTAACTCGGTAATTACTGGGGCGAGTTCGCTGAAACGTGGCATACAGGTAGGCACCCACCAGGCACTGCATTCCCATGTGTTGCGGTTAGGGTGCTACTGCACGTGCGCACGTGCAGGGGGCGCTTCCAGATCTCGAGAACGGCTGGGCCGATTGCGCTCAAATTTGGTACACGGTTGGAGACCGGTTAGTAGGGTGCCGTGCAAAAGTCAGTTTGGACCCCGTCTGCACGTGCGCACGTGCAGAATGCCGCTTCCAGATCTCAGGAACGGCTGGGCCGATCGCGTTCAAATTTGGCACACCGCTAGCGACCGGTTAGAAGGGTGCTTTGCACAAGCCCGTTGGAAGTACCCTCTCGCCCTTCCGCACGTGCAGGGCTCAATATCTCGCTCACTCGTTCTTCGCCCAAAAGGCGTTTTACTGGTTGTAAAAATATTTTTTTTTAATTTTCAAAATTTCGAAAATTTGAGATAGCAGTTTGATAACTAGTGTATTTGTAGTCCACTGACGCAAAGAAATTGGATCTAGCTTTAAAACAAAGCTCTTGAGAGCGTTTGCCGTAATTCAACATTTTGCATCAAAATCGGCCGACATGGCCAAACTATGGCAGCTAAAAAGTTGAAATTTTAACACAGGGTGTCAAATTGATGCCGCTGAGGGTACCGCAAGTTTTGTGTTGATCTATCAAACGGTTTAAAAGATATTGCCGAAAAACTGGAGAGGGGCTTTGTAGAGCCCCCCCCCAGGCATGCGTGGGCTAAGACCAGACCTGTTTTATGCATTGTAGAGCGTAGATAGTTTTGGTATGCCTACTTCATTGCGCTGAATACACGTTTATTTGTGGCAGTCTTCACAGGCAAGACATCAATATGTGCAAGAGAACGGCTAAGTTGGGAAACATGCCAAAGGAGTAGATAAATGATAGGAGGGCAGCGATCAACGGAGGTCGCCAATAGGTAGAAGGACTGCGATTGACAGGATGGCGCTAATATGTAGGAGAGCCCCGATCGACACCCCGAGTTTCCATAGGAGGGCACCGCTAGGTAGGAGGGTGGCGAGCAGCAGGAGGGCGCCAATGGGTATAAGGGCGGTGATCAACAGGAAGGCGCCAATAGGTAGGAGGGCCCCGATCAACAATCAACAGGAGGGTGCCACCAGGTGAGGGGGCGGCTAGAAACAGGAGAGCACCAATAGATAGGAAGGTGGCGATCAACAAGAGGTCGCCAATAGGTAGGAGGGCGGTCATCAACAGGAAGCCGCCAATGAGTGGAAGGATGACGATTAATAGGAGGATGGCAGTGGTGAGGAGGGAGCCTTCGCCCAAGAGGATGACATTGAACAGGAGGGGACCTGTGAGGAGGGCGATCAACAAGAGGGCGCCAATGGCTAGGAGGGCGGCGATCAACAAGAGGGTGCCAAAAGGGAGGAGGGCGGCCGATCACAATTTCACATGAGGGCGCAATGGGTAGGACGGCGCCAGTAAATATGAGGGCGCCGACCAGCAGCAGCAGAAGGGCAGTAATGTGTAGCATGGTTGCGATATACAGGAGAGCGCCTTCGGGTGAGAGGGCGCCTATTTTCAGGAGAGCACCAATAGGTAGGAGTACGCCGATCAAATGAGGGCGCCAGTGGGCAGGAGAGCAGCAATCAACAGGCTTACATGGGCGACTACCGCTACGCTTAGAGAGCTACAGCCAACAAATGCGGTTGGAGGGTGCCCGATGGACATATCCAACCGTATTTGGAATAGCGCTCTCTGAGGGCGCCCTGCAACCGTGTTTTCTCTGTAAGCACATTCGCGAGGGCGCCTTTGGCGCTCTCCGGTCGCGATTGTTTTTCGATTCGATTCAATCACAATTGCATTTGCGATTGGAGGGCGCCTTCCTCCAATCGCAAAGGGCGCATTCGGCGCCCATGGGGGGCATGGCCCAGTGCCCCCCCCCCCCGCCTACGTCCCTGCATACTTACACTGCACCAAAAGACAGACCACTTCGCCCCAAAGTCAGAGGCTCACAGCAGTAGGTGTGAGAGCTGACGGCTGGTCACCTCGAGGCGCTGCATCCTACTGCGCGCGCAGTGCCGACTCGACTGGTGGACGGGCGGCGTGTTAGTGCTGCCGACTGGACTGTTGAGCGCTACCGGCGCGGCCCGGCTCTGACCCGGTCGGCCGGCGCGCTGCTGACGTGTCGTGACCCGCCGTCCGTCAGCGAGCTAGATCGAGGGTGTTACTGCGCGGCCCGAGCTCGGCCGCCGCCGCAGATAGGCCACGGCGCGGCTCCCTCGGCCCTCCACACAGTAAACAAGGCCCCACCACCAGTGGGCACTGCCTCCGCTGAGCCGAACCCCCGTCTGCCTGTCCCATATCGCGCCGGTATCAGGTCAGGCAAGGTATATAAAAACACTAGGTAACACCGAGAAATTCCTTGAACATGAAGGCAACGGGTTCAGGTCTTGACAGATATTGCTAGCACAATTTGCAAGAAACTTGCTCCGTAACTACAATACAGATTTTCCTAATAGGGGAAAGACAGGTAAGAGGGTCAGGGCAGGTAAGACGGGCACCCCTCCTGCAGACCAAACCAATAGCGCTACGAGCTAGAAAAATTAGGACCAGAATTGCCTTTCCCACTACACACCACCATTGAAGTCTGGTGAATTTGTGTTCAGTCGATAATCTTTTATTTGATTTCTTTAAAACACTCATTTCATTGAAAACATCCCATAATGTATTGTGCAAGCTTTTGTGTGCAGCACCATAGAGTTAAAAACTCGCAATCACTTGTGGTACACTCATATGCCACCAGGGGCGTAGCCAGAGCCTTTCGATAGGAGGGGCACAGTGGGTCCGATGGGCCCCCCTCGCAGGTGGGCCCCCCTTGCAAACGGGCCTCTTCGCAGGTGGGCTTCTCTTTAATGGTCTTAGAACTTGAGGAAAAGTGGAAAATTGGTAAGTACAAATTTGATGTTTTTGCCTGAGGAGTGTGCATAAAATGCACAGTATTTTACAAGTGAGCGAAGCGAGCAAGCGAGTTAATTTGTGCACAGTGAAATAACTTTCAATATGAGCGGCCCAACGTGGCCCAATACGATCTGTGGCGCTTTTCAGAGTCTTAAGCATGCCTCATCAATCGCTCGACCGATCGACAAGCAGCACTGCATCAGGGAGATCCATCTCTTCGATCATGATCTAATTAAACTACCTAGTACCTTTGATGCATGTGGGTGAGCGACACGACACGTGCCTTGTGTCAAGTCAGGGGTGCTTAAATTGTTGCGCTTACAATAACTACGCATTGACTTGGCAAATTGCGCTGAAACATGCCCGATAACTGAACATCGTGTGGACTAGGGGATGCATTTCCATGGCTATCACAGTTTGTCTGCTACCCTGAATGTGCGCAAAATTATGAACTTCGCAGCACGGGTCATCTTCGGCCGCCGTAAATTCGACCACGTCTCTGGCCTCCGCGACTCGCTTGGATGGATACTTCCGAAAGCTATGGCCGATATTCAAACCCTCGTAACTGCTCAGAAAATAATAAGGAACGTTTTTAGCTGAACTCGAATTTATCAACCATTTCAACATTTACGAAGTACACTGAGAGCTTTTTTGATTCCCTTTAAGCATATTAGGGGAATTGGTCTAAAGCAACACCCTGATCATTTCTCCGAATATACCTCAAATACACTTTCTTTGAATATCGCTCTGAAATTCTTCTAATATACCTACCCTACACTGAAAACCTTTTTGATTCCTTTTAACCCGCGCCGGGCCGGTGCTCTGAGATTCCGCGCCGGGCCGCGGGGGGGGGTGTCTGAACACCCCCTTCTAACTTGGCTCCTGGGACACGTAGCGACACGCGGTAAGCGGCAATCGAAAGAACGTCAAAAATAAGGACGAAAACACCCCAGTCATTTTTTGGGTCAGGTCAAAGGTCAGGACACCAGAGGTCACCAAAGGTAAAATGTTGACTATTTTAAAATTTTGGAAACTGCCAACGGCTATCTCGGGAACCGACAGAGCTACAGCGCCGCAAAAAAGCGCATTCGATAGCCCTTTTACAGACCTTTCTGAATAATGTTCTCAGATTTGACCTCAGGTCAACGGTTTAGCCTCCAGAGGGCAAAAACTACAAAAATAGCCGTTTTTACGAAAAACGTTTTTTTTCGGCCATAACTTTTGACTCAAAAGAGTTATGACATTACTTTTGCCAGCATCGTGTTCCTCTCGTCAAGACGCGTCGAATGAACTATATTTTGACCTTAGAAGGTCAACTTGAAAATTTGACCTCAGGTCAAGGTCATGATCTGACCGGAAAAGGTCATGTTGCATATCAGTCGATCCGCAACGTCAGCCCAACACATCTAAGGCGTTTTCAGCGCTCTAGCACGCCTCTATCAGAAGTTATCATCGAAAAACTGTTAGATTCTGTTCGTGACCTGAGATGACCTCGGGGACATAACGAGGGGTCACAGTTGCCATTTTCTGGTTCAGTGTGTCTATTTTACCTACATCTCGATGCTTGAGAGTGTCTTGAATAGCGTTCGTGCAAAACAGACGCTTTTTCAATTTTCTCCCATTGACTTATAATGGAGAGGCCGCAAAATTGACCTGACCTTAGGTCACCGACATCAAAATTCCGAGATATACATTTTATAGATAGTGTTGCTCTTATCAATCGCTGAAAGTTTCAAGGCAATCGTTCAGTCAGTGTAGCTATGCCGAGCATTCTTATTTTTTCTGAGGTGAGGTCACTTGGCGTGACCTGGTGACCTGACCTAAGGTGACCTGGGTCTGAAATTTTCACAACATGTGCGGAAAAGATGCACGAACAGGTGTGCCAAAAACACCTGTTCGTGTTTTTGAGATATCTGCGAAAAACCGCAAGGGGGGGGGGGTGTTCAAACACACCCCCCCCCCGGCCCGGCGCGGGTTAAGAATATTAGGGGTTTTGGTCTGAAACAACACCCGGATCATTTCTTCGAATATACCCGAACTATACCCTTGTTCTTTAAATAGCTCCCTTGAATTCTTCTAATATACCCTAGTAAGTACCGGAGAGGAATGGAATATGATTCCTGTTCTATTCCCTGCGATACCCACAGTACACTCCTTTTAACCCGCGCCCTGCGGGGGGAGGGGTGTTTGAACACCCCCCTTGTGGTTTTTCGCGAATATCTCAAAAACGGCGGCGCAGAGCGCCGCTGTTTTTGGTACACCTTATCATACATCAATTCTACACATGTTGTGAAAATTTCAGACCAAGGTCATTCAAGGTCAGATCACCAGGTCACTTGAAGTGACCTCACCTCATAAAAAGTTTCAATGTCTGTCATAGCTACACCGAGTGACCGATCGCTTTGAAACTTTCAGCGATTGCTAAGAGCACTAGCACGTACAAAATGTTTATCTCAGAATTTTGATATCGATGACCTAAGGTCAGGTCAATTTTGCGACCTCCTCATTATGTCAATGGGAGAAAATTGAAATGCGCCTCTTTTGGACGAAAGACATTATAAACACTCCCAAACACTGAATTACAAGTGGTTTAGATACACTGAACATGAAAATGGTGTCCGTGACCCCTGTTTAAGCCCTGAGGTCATCTTAGGTCACGAATGGTATCTAACAGTTTTTCGCAAATAACTTTTGATAGAGGCATGCTAGAGCGATGAAAACGCATTAGATGTGTTCAGCTCGACGATACGGATCGACTGATATACAACATGACCATTTCAGGTCAGGTCATGACCTTGACCTGAGGTCAAATTTTCAAGTTGACCTTTCAAGGTCAAGTTATAGTTCATTCGATGCGTCTTGACGAGAGGAACACGATGCCGGTAAAAGTAACTGTTCCGTCCTTGTCCGCAGAACACTCAACTGTGCCTCGTAGTCTTCATATATTGTGACACCGCCACGAACTCCACCCAGTCGCCAGCCAGACACGAATGGCGCGCACACCAGCAAACCTCCCGGCATCGACTCCGCTGACGTGTAAAACCCGACCAGTGAAATCGGCCACTAAATCAATAGCGCAGTACGCAACACTCCTCCCCACAGGCAAGAAGTATACCCATGCCACGATTCAGCACCGTAACTCGGTAGGGGGCACCACTGCAGCGGTTTAGGGGTGACCCGCCACGACATGGGCCGGACGAATTTGGTCAGCATGACGGGTGAAGGCGCGGCCGTCCTCGAGGCGAACGTCCACCACTACACCACTGCTGTTCGAGACCACCGCGGGGACCCATCGGCGGGCGAAGCCCTGACACTCTTCAACCCAGACGGCGTCCCCGACGCGGAAATCGCGCGGTCGGGCGCGGCGGTCGTGGACGTCCTTCCTGGCTGACTGACGGGCCTCCACGGTGGAGCGCAGACTCGGGCGCAGCGACTGCAGTGGAGTACGCAGCGCTCGGCCGAACATCAGTTCAGCCGGAGCTCGCCCCGTTGTCGACTGTGGCGAATTCCTGTAGGTGAAAAGAAAACGCGACAGTTTTGTCTGGAGACTTCCTTCAGTCCTCCTCTTCAACGCCGATTTTACGACTTTCACCAAAGCCTCAGCCTGGCCATTGGAGGCGGGATGACGCGGCGGGCTAAAAACGTGCCGGATACCATTCTCAGACAAGAACAACTTAAACTGTTCACTCGTAAAGCAGGTGCCATTGTCTGACACAAGGACTAAAGGTAATCCAAAAACAGAAAAACACTTGCGAAGGTTTTCAATCACACACGTTGAACTTGTCGAGCTCGTAACAAACACTTCAAGCCATTTGGTGAACGAATCCACAACTATTAAAAGCATCTTTCCCTCCACGGGGCCGGCAAAATCAACATGAATTCTGCTCCACGGCTCGGTGGGGAATATCCAGGGTTTGATATGATGAGGGAATATCTCATCCTCGTCGCCAAAAGTGTTCCGTCCTTGTCCGCAGAACACTCAACTGTGCCTCGTAGTCTTCATATATTGTGACACCTCCACGAACTCCACCCAGTCGCCAGCCAGACACGAATGGCGCGCACACGAGCAAACCTCCCGGCATCGACTCCGCTGACGTGTAAAACCCGACCAGTGAAATCGGCCACTAAATCAATAGCGCAGTACGCAACAGTAACCTCGTGCAAGGCTTGGGTCAAAAGTTATTGCAGAAAACTGTTTCCGAAAAAAATCGGCTATTTTTGCAGTTTTTGCC